AGGGAGCTTTTGTTCGGTCCCACTTAAAGTACACCGGCCAGGCCTGGTGTCCGTGGTTTAAAAAAAGCTTATCTGCACCTGAAACGAGTGCAGGCGAGGCCTACGAAGGTGGTCAAGAATCTTGGTCGTCTGCCTTACGAAGATAGATTAATTTCTTCTCAATTACAGGTAACTACGCGGTGACCTCATTCAAACCTAACGAATTGTCCGAGGCCGCGAGTGCGCCCTAGAATTTGAGAAATTCTTCGAACGGGCTCGGACGGATCATTTGTGGGGTCATCCCTTTAAACTGCAGAGGAGGCTGGCCATACGGACGTTCGACGGAACGTCTTCTTGTGGAAAGTCATGGGAGCGTGGAATGGAATCCCTGAGGGGGTAGTCCTTTCAGATACTGTTGACACATTTAAGCGCAAACTGGGTTTTCATTTGCTGAGGAACTGTGATACATACAATGGACATTGCGTCAGTAGCGCCAGTTTGCAACTGACTCACACACATTGCTGATGTTAACTCTACATTTGTATTATGCACTTTTGTTGAGGTTGGACTCTTTTGCGATTTTTGGATATGAATATGGAGCTCAAGGGCGAAAACCTTCCCTTAATAAAGTGACTTATGTGCTATTATTGAACATGTGCTAGACAGACGCACCAGTGGGCAAAGTAAGCATATTTGACAGTCACTGGCCGTTCCGAAGTATACCTGGTGGTTGATTTTTTCAACAAATGCAAACTACCTGCCACAGGGTAGCATATATCGGCGGCATGGATCGTACGCAGACCTGGTTCATAAAACTGCATAGCTTACGGTCACAAACGAAAAAGACAGCTTTAACACAGAAAGCCAAGAAGAGTTACCTTTCCTCAAAGGAGGGACGACTGGAAACTGGCCGCTGGGACGCCGTGGGGGTGGTTGCCACGGTCGAGTTGGTAGTCAATTCGGCCCCACCGGCGGTTACGTCTCTAGGGGACTTGTGGGGGGAGGATGTGGAGGCAGCGGTCGTCGTCGCCAACGTCGTGGCTGCCGTGGCGTTTTCAGAGGAGTTGGTGCTGTGGGAAAGGAAGAGGGTGGAATAACAGCAACTTATATATAGGATCCAGATGTAAGGGTGGACACCAGGCGAGGAAGAAGGTGAAAAGATTGCTGGACAATAGTGGATGAAACCTAACTAGATAGGGGGGAGGGAGGGGAGAGGGAGGGTAGCAACAAGTTTGCTTGCACCAGCTC